GATAACTTGGATTACAAAATTACTAAAAACAGTATATCATGTACAGTAAAACAATGCAGCAAAACTGGAGTACAAAATTAGAGAACAATGCATAAGACTGGGCAAAGCAAGGGAAACTGCCTAAAATTTCGCAAGCACGGCATTGGTGCATGATGCCTCATAGCCCCAAAATCCAGGTTCTCCAAGAGAACCAAAATAGATTGTGTAAGTTAGTTGTAGAGCTCTGTTTTTGTATGGTTTAAAACAGAGTGGGCCTGAAGGGCAGAATACTGGAGGAGGTTGTGAGAGTGCATGGGAGGGAGGTAATGATTCACAAGCTGTTTCTCTTGTGTAAGTATGAGGTGAAGTTTCTGAGTTGAACTGGGGAAGCTGAACCCCTGGCTGTTGGGGTTTGGCAAGCCCAGACATTGCTAAAAGAGGTTGGCCGCAGCTGTTATAACTTAAGAAAAGGCAAAGACCCCTGTCCTGTTGTTGTTTCTAAATTTCTGTAGCAAATATTTAATGTGCCAACGAGTTTTGTCCTTGGGAATTTGAGGTGAACTTTAAAATTAAACTGCAGTTGAGAATCAGCATATGTATTTCTTCCTTCCTCCCCCTCAAGCAGTAAGACACGAACGTGAGAAGTGTTCGTGTGTGACACTTTGTTGTGTGGTTGGGGGAGGAGGTTTCAGTAAACTAGCATGTCCTTGCATGACCAGTTCTTGAAGGTTTTCTTAAACTAACTTGTATCGGATGATTGGTTCAGACAGGCCGGATCCTGTACACCTGTTTCCAGTCCATTCAAGCACAAAAGAGCTCAGAGTAAGTGTTTAAGCCCGCTCTCTTGTATTAAAATTTCAACAGATTTTACACTGCTGCTAATATGTATTCTACAATAGAAATTTTTAAAATTCTATTTGTACTGTGTCCTCTTTTGCTGCTTCTAGATATTAAAAACCTGCTATAATTTTTTTGAATTCATTTTATAATAAATTTCATGCTGCTTTTAATGGTTTTCTGTTTTAATAAGGTGGCATTATGGCTTTAATTTTATGTGTTCCTTGAATAAACTGCATTTTGTAGAAAGGTGGGATATGTATTCCCTAGCAGTGCCCTCCTAAGATGAGTTGCACACTTCTAAGTCCTTTGAGGTCAGTGGTTTTAAAGGTAAAGGTTCCCTTGCTCGAAAGCCAGTCGAATCCGACTCTAGGGTTGCGGTGCTCATCTCCGTTTCCAAGCCAAAGAGCCAGCGCTGTCCGAAGACGTTTCCGTGGTCATGTGGCCGGCATGACTAAACACCAAGGCGCACGGAATACTGTTACCTTCCCACCAAAGTGGTACCTATTTATCTACTTGCAAAGTCTTGCTTTCGAACTGCTAGGTTGGCAGGAGCTGGAACTAGACATGGGAGCTCACTCCATCATGCGGCATCCGAGTTTCGAACTACCGACCTTCCACAGCCTGCAGTTCAGCGTCTGAGCCACCGCGGCTCCGTGGGCTTAAAAGGATGTAATTCTGCTTTAAGACGATACCGTAAATGGAATCAAGCAAAGCAATTATGGCTGAGAATTGCTGAGTCTCCAACTTGATTTCAGTGGTGCCTTTGTGGAGCTACTCTGTTTTTAATTCTCAGGTTTTCATCTTGAAGACTACTTTTAGGGAGGGCAGGGAGTGTTCATTCTACCAGCCTGACTGGCAGACTTCCTCTTTACAATTCCCAATTTCTTTACAACTCCCAATCCCTGTCCCAGGATCCGGTTGCCAGTCTTTCTGCCTAACGGGCAGAATGCCATCCAGTAACCTTTGTGGCTGAGTTAGGATTTTAACTGGGCCTTCCAGGTCTAATGATGGATAGAACAGCCACTGTTGTCATGATGTATAGTAGTTACCTGCTGTTGAATGAAGGTGGTGGTGCTTTCCACGCAGAGATGAGCTTGCACGGTTTCCCCGCTGATGATGTGGCTATAAATAAAGTGCAGCAGCAATGGGGGCTTCCACGTGGCAGATCTCCTTGCCCCATTTCCCCAGCAGCAGCCACTGTTCCCCAGGCCACCAAAGCCTTTGCAGGGTATTTTTAAAAAAATCAAAACTAGAATATTGTTATCGCGACAATGTGATACCAATAAATGTACCAAATCTTCTCTTTAAAAAAAAAAAAAGTCTCTAGCCCCTCCCACTGTGGAGATACGGCTTTCTGCTTACATCTCTGCAGTGGAAGGAACTAGAGACTGGCTTTTTTTTCAAAATGAAAACTGAGAATTCAGAGAACCTGGTACACATATTGGTATAATGTTACATTGATACCCTAGTGCTGGTTTTAAAAAGCTCTCCCCCGGCAGGGGGGAAGTAGTGACTGCCATGGAGTGAACAAACATGGCCAAGGGGGACCCAATAGATGTTGTTTACCTTGACTTCCAGAAAGCTTTTGATAAAGTTCCTCATCAAAGGCTCCTAAATAAGCTCAATAGTCTCAGGATAAAAGGACAAGTCCTCTTGTGGATCAAAAACTGGCTAATTAATAGGAAACAGAGAGTGAGTATAAATGGGATCAGTACTCGGTCCGATGCTTTTTAACTTATTAATGATTTGGAGTTGGGAGTAAGCAGTGAAGTGGCTAAATTTGCAGATGACACGAAGTTGTTCAGGGTGGTGAGAACAAGGGAGGCTTGTGAGGCACTCCAAAGGGATTTGTCGAGGATGGGCAAGTGGGCGTCAACATGGCAAATGGGGTTCAGTGTGGCGAAGTGCAAAATGATGCACATTGGAGCCAAAAATCCTAACTATAAATACACGTTGATGGGATCCGAACTGGCAGAGACTGACCAAGAGAGAGATCTTGGAGTTGTAGTAGCTAACTCAGTGAAAATGTTGAGACAGTGTGCGACTGCAATAAAAAAGGCCAACGCTATGCTCGGGATTATTAGGAAGGGAATTGAAAACAAATCAGCCAGTGTCATAATGCCCCTGTATAAATCGATGGTGGAACCTCATTTGGAGTACTGTGTACAGAACTGGTCGCCACACCTCAAAAAGGATATTATAGCATTGAGAAAAGGGCACCTAGAATGATAAAAGGGTTGGAACACTTTCCCTATGAAGAAAGGTTAAAGCGCTTGGGGCTCTTTAGCTTGGAGAAACGACGGCTGAGAGGTGACATGATCGAGGTTTATAAGATTATGCATGGGATAGAGCAAGTAGAGAAAGAAGTACTTTTCTCCTTTTCTCACAATACGAGAACTCGTGGGCAATGCTCGCTCTAAGCTGTGGAGTCTTGTGAGCAAAAATTCTACTTTGTGAGCTCCTGGCATTAAAGTTGTGAGCAAGCAATTTGGCTACTGCATAAATTAGTTTGCTCTGGAGCTGAGGTAAGACAAAAATATGTGAGCCGGAGGCTAAAAAACTGTGAGCTAGCTCACACTAGCTCAGCTTAGAGGGAACACTGCTCGTGGGCACTCAATGAGATTGCTGAGCAGTCGGGTTAGAACAGATAAAAGGAAGTACTTCTTCACCCAAAGAGTGATTAACACATGGAATTCACTGCCACAGGAGGTGGCGGCGGCTACAAGCATGGATGGCTTCAAGAGGGAATTAGGTAAACATATGGAGCAGAGGTCCATCAGAAGCTATAGCCACAAGGAACTCTAAGCCTGGGGCAAGTGATGCTCTGTATTCTTGGTGCTTGGGGGGGCGGGCAACAGTGGGAGAGCTTCTAGTGTCCTGGCCCCACTACTGGACCTCCTGATGGCACCTGGTATTTTTGGCCACTGTGACGGTGTTGGACTGGATGGGCCTGATCCAACATTGGCTTCTCTTATGTTTTTATGAGTCAGGATTAGGGAAAATGTCTGCTATGTGAGTGGCAAAATCTGAATGTTCCCACACATTCAGTAGCCCTCTAGGCATTACTGCAGTCTTTCTCAAACTTTGGAGCAAACCAGTTTTGTGAAAGATCAGAGAAAAGCTGGGCAAAACCGCAGGAAGTGCATGGATGCACCACAATGCTGTGGTGAAGCAGGGTATGCATTTCCAAAAGCATTAAATCCAGGGCAGATAACCTGTGTGGAAATGGCAGGTGTCCTTGCAGAAAGCTGGGACTTCCGTGGCTGCATTTTGTGCTTTGCTAGAAACATCTGCAGTGTGATCTCAGGCACCTTTGCTTGTGTCGTTGCCTAGCATCAGCTAATGCCCACGTATTAGGACGCCTTTTCATGCTTACATTTCCACACAAGTATATGCTGCTTTTGTCTGCAGTACCAACATACAACAAATAACCGTGCACAAAAGATAATGTACAACGTGCTTTTCATTTTGGAGGAGGCTTGTAGCTCATTGAAAAAATCTTTTGCAGTGTTCACTGAAGGAGAACTTTGGATAAAAACTATGGTATTTGGCAACCTTGTGCTGAAAATTGTTGTTGAACTCCCTGAGGAAGATTCTGAATCAGAAGGATATCTGGACCTCTGTTGGAGGAAGATAGAGCACATGTTATAAAGAGACTTTAAGGAGTCCTCCCTTTTGAAACTTTTAACAGAGGAGGACTAATATTAATTATAAGGTTGTACATTATCTTTTGAGATTCTTTGGAGATGATATTTGATATTTTTGATATTTCTTATATTGTATATTGTGATTAAGATGAATTATTATATAAGAAGAAATTATTGTAAAAATATTTTTCAAAGAATATAGATAAATGATATGTTATAATCATCTGTGAACGGTATTTGTTGTGTGTTGGTTTTCCTACTTACCGTGGGTCCTTTTTTGGTTTTGTGATTTGTCTGCAGTACAGCAGATGGTTTCCATTTGAGAGACCCAGTTTGGTGTAGTGGTTAAGTGCGCGGACTCTAATCTGGGAGAACCGGGTTCGATTCCCCACTCCTCCACTTGCACCTGGCTGGATGACCTTGGGCAAGCTATAGTTCTGATAAGAGCTGTTCTTGAAAAAGAGCAGTTTCTGTCAGAGCTCTCTCAGCCTCACCTACCTCACAGGGTGTCTGTTGTGGGGAGGGGAAGGGAAAGGAGTTTGTAAGCTGCTCTGACACACCTTTGGGTAGTGAAGGGCGGAGTATAAATCCAATCTCTTCTCTCTTCTTCTCTTCTCTTGATTGTTTGCCCTAACAAACCTGCCAAGCCCTGTTGTGGGGTGGTGATAAAAGAAGGTAAAAAAGAAAGATGCATTTTTTTTACAGAAAGTATAAATGTGGGCACTAACTTGCATGTGTTTTTGTTGTAGGTATGAGAGGATTGAAATTCCTATTCATGTGGTCCCTCACAATACCATTGGGAAAGTGTGCCTGGAGTCAGCTGTGGAGCTGCCCAAGATCTTGTGTCAAGAGGAGCAAGACGCCTACCGAAAAATCCATAGGTAACGTGAGATCAGGCACAATTCCTTCCTGATTTCTGAACCTGCCCATGGAGTTAAGATCTGCCTCCCAAGGAAGACAGAGAGGGCCTACCACTTGACACAGGGGGGTGGATGTTTGCTGTTTTTCCTGTGGCATTGTGCATTCAGTTTCCGCTTCCTCAGGAGATTCACCCCCCTGATACCATCCTTACGGATGCTGAGGCACCAAGCAAAGATTTTTTTAGTACTTCAGTTTGGCTTTTCTTCTGTTCTGCTCTGGTTTGTTTAGATTTCTTTTCCTCTCACCATTGTTTTACTGTGCGCTCTGTCGTTTTCTTCTATACTGTTTGGGTTTTTTTATTATTTTTATTTCATTGTGTTAATTCATTGACAGCCACCTGTTTCCATTCAGAAAAGCAGGATAGGAATGGTTTTAATAAACCATTGGACAGCTCAGTTTGGCCTTGCTGGCAATCCATGTTGACTATCTCTTTCACCTGCTGTCCTTTAGAGCAGGTATAGTGTGGGTTGATCGTATGGCTCAGAAGCTGAGCGACTTTATACAGTCTGTTTCGTTGGCAGGAAGGGAGGCTAAGCTGGGCTGTGTGTTATGGCAGGGTCAGATTGTCAGGGTGACTAGACAAAAGGAAAATAAGCTTAGTGGCACCTTGAAAGTTTAACAGGATTTATTCCAGCATAAGCTTTTGTGAGTCAGACCTTGCTTCCTCTGATTCACTGAGTTTATACAGCAAATAGTTACAAGAATCGGCACAGTAATGAGACAAATGAAAAATGGAAAAGAACTGTGACAATTTAGCGCTTAATAATAATATATTCATAAATCATAATATACGATAACAGAAATGTAAATAGAAATAGTGAATGTAGTAGACGGTTGTCTCCGGAATGATATGCCGTTTCGAAGATGATCTTCTTCTGAACAAGGAGGTGTACATAAACTGTCCTTCAACAATTCATATCTCTTGGTGACGTATTGACAATATACTGTAGATTCACTTCATCATAAAGCAATGCTTACAGCTGTGTTCTTCAATGGGCTATGGTTGCTGATACGTCACATTTCACTGAGTTTATAACCATTATCAGGAAACATTTTATATTCGGTTTTACAAGGGGAGGGAGGAAGAAAGGTGAGCGAAATGTGTTGCAAGTCCTTCAGGTATAAGTCCCACTGAAAGGGAGTGGAACGGATGTGGTGGTTGCTCAGGATAAATGATGGGAGAGGTCACAGGATCCAGCCTCTTACGGAGTGCAGATACATAAAGTTTTGATTGGATCTTTTGTCAGGTGGTATAGTTGACTGCTGCCCTCTCACAGGTGTGTGCTCTCTTCCTTTGTTTAGCCTTACTCATCTAGACTCAATAACCAAGATCCACAATGGCTCAGGTAAGGACTTCCAGATCAAGAAAAAGAACATGGCACCTTCTGATCCTTGTAGATGAATCAGGTCTCCAAACCCTACTGAGACTAGAAAGCTATTCCACACCTGTGGTTGGTTCTCAAATTGTAGGCAAACCTCTTCACTGGGTGGTGGGAAATATCCAGTGGAAGGGCATTGCCCTTCTTGGGTGTGTCTTGATTTTGTCGGCCCTTTCTCTGCTGACAAATCCAGGGTGTGCATAACTGTGCACTTTCTGATAGTGTGGGATCAAGACTCCTTGTTTTTCCTGCAATACTGTTAGCACATCTAAGAGATTCCCCACTCTGCCATGGAAGCTTGCTGGGTAACCTTAGGCCAGTCACAGGCTAACCTACCTCACAGGGTTGTTGTGAGGAAAAAATGGAGTAGAGGAGAGTGATGTAAGCTGCTTTGAGTCCCCCTCATGGGGAAAAGCAGGGTGTTCATGAAGCATGTGAATACTTTGCAGAGGCCTAACGTGCCATAGAATTAGGCTCTCTGTTGCTCATGGCAAGCAGGGCCGGCTCACTCACTAGGCAAACTAGGGGATCGCCTAGAGCAGGACAGCCCTTAGGGGCACCAAACTGCACCCGGCCTGTACTCTGGGAGTTTCTTGATTATTTGTGTTTTTCATTCTTCCTAAAATGCATTTATTTTTGAAAATTGGTGGGCGCACAGGGGCCCCCAGAAGGGATCCTCGCCTAGGGTGCAAAATAAGCTGGAGCCGGCCCTGATGGCAAGGACTGCACTTGCCGGGCCCTGTGCAGTCAGAGAAGGTTTGTCTTGCTGTTTGTTTTCCAAAATCTAGATGCTGCCTTTCCGCCCTCGTAAGGGCCACCAAGGCAACTAACAAAACCCACAGAATAAAATCACATCTTAGAAGCCATTGATACCAACAAGAAACATCCTTAAAATAACTAAACCAGAGCTAAAATACATAATATAAAAACAGCAATTAAAACATAGGGCAGGAAGGAGGGACCACTGAGGGAATGTTGAATGAACCAAAAAAAATAAATATCTTCACCTGCTGGCAGAAGATGGCAATAGCTGGGGACAGACAAGTCTCCCTGGTGAGAAGGTCCCAGAGTTTTTGGTGCCACAACCAAGAAGGCCCTTTCCAGGGTTGTCGCCAGCGTTCCCTCTAAGCTGAGTTAGTGTGAGCTAGCTCACAATTTTTTAGCCTCCGGCTCACACATTTTTGTCTTTGCTCAGGAAGGAGGGCTCTAGAGCAAACTAATTTATGCAGTAGCCAAATCGCTCACTCACAACTGTAATGCCAGCAGCTCAGAAAGTAGAATTTTTGTTCACAAGACTCCACGGCTTAGAGGGAACATTGGTTGTCACCCGTCTAATCTCTCTGACCGTTGACTCTTCCCCTCCCCTTTCCAGTGTTCACCAAAAATCTCTGCAGCCAGATGTCTGCCATCAGCGGCCCCCTGCTGCAGTGGCTGGAGGACCGCCTGGAGCAGAACAAGCAGAGGATGCAGGAACTGCAGCGGGAGAAAGAAGAGCTGTTGGAGGAACTTTCTACCCTGTAGCGCTTGAGAACAAAGGCCCTCGTGGCTTAGGGAGCAGAGCGAGACGATGGGTTCCTAAGCCTGGCCGGGGCCCTGCCTTGACACTTTCCTCCTCCGTTCCATCTCGTAGCAGACACTGCCACAAAACGGGAAGGACCCTGGGCACAAACGCTGTTCCGTCAAAGGGAGGATCGGCCTCCTAGAGTAGATCAGCTGCCTTTGCAGAAGAGCAAACCTCTGTCTTTTGCAGATGGGGGGACTCGACTTCATCCTTCACGCAGCTGCCGCAGGAGAGTCGGAGGAGGGTGCAGCTGCCCTGACCTTGGCATGCACCCTGTAACAACAAACTAATCTGCACTTGGCGTGGACTGGTAATGTTGAGGTTACAGGGATCCTTTTGTGTCTGCCTCTTCCCAGGAGGATCTCTGTCCCTATTAAGCTTTTAAAAACTGGAGTGATTGATGGATGCTTGTGAAGCAGTAGTCATGCTCATGTTCTGTCTTTTAACCTAAATAAAGTCAAAGTGAAGATTGGAGCTGCAGCACTTCTTGAATGCCTGGCCCTGGGAATGCATGGTGCCCCATGCTTCCTAATTCACCCGTGTCCCCTGTTCTGATACTGTATTCCTGCAGACCTTCTCTCCCCTGCCCAGGCAATTTTTATGTCTCTTGGATTTCTTTTGTTGCTTATAGCACTTGAAGTCTCCAGTGAGCATTTTATAGGCGCTGTGTGTTTTTTTTATAACTGCTTGAAACATAATTGCTCCATGAGATCATTTTTGAAGGCTTTTCCTTTTAAGGAAATCTGTAACCTCATGTCCTGCAAGGCGCAGCAAAGTTAACTATTTTTTTTTTAAAGGAGCTTTCTGAACCTCAGTATTAGGGAATGAACGAGGGGATCTGGTTAGGGGGAATCGAGTTAAAAGCAAAGTATGCCTGCCCTTTTTCTAACACTGCAAGGCTCTGTACAGATAGTACCATTGAGGCTTGGAGTTGTGGCTCCTGTGTTCACTTTTTAAAACTCTTCCTTTGGGCAAACTGTGCTCATTTTGTTGTGACTTTGATAAGGACCTATTGGCTAGTGCCTGCTATGACTACCACCCCAGCTGAGGCTTCTGTATAGGCGGGAAATGTCTCCATTACAGGGTAGGCTATATAAACACTGCACACAGAACAGCTGCTCTAGGGAAATGGTGTACACCCAGAGCCAGCTTGGAGACACTTCAGACATGTCGTTAGAAAGGAAGTTGAACAACGGGGATGCAGAGGAGGAGGCTGACATATGCGCTATGCCTTTTGCTTTAAAGCAAATCATCTGGCTGCAAATCATTTTCAGAATGCTGGGCTGCGTGCCTGTATCAGACTTCACGCTTACACTGCGCTTATAGAATCGTGGAATTGACACAGCCACAGAAACCATCTGTGTTCCTGTTTTCAGATTAGATGGTGCGGGCAGAGGGGGGAAAGGAACATGTCACCCTTCTACAGTAACAGCCCCTCCTTTTAGCAACCTGTTTGGTCTGTTGCTGAAAACTAAACTTTAAAGCCCCTTTTCTTCAGTATCAGCCAAAGTGACCATTTTGACCTTTCCCTCTGGGCATCTGTTTCTTCCTGATAAGAGTCAGTGGATTCAAGAGCTAGTGGGGAAGTGTATCAAAGGGGGGGGGGGAGTCTTTAGGTTGCAATTTCTCATGAGCAGCATCTGACAGGGCAGCGAGCGCTGTCCCTTAATCCCTCTTATGATCATCTAGAAACCTCTGAAGTGCATCCCGGGCTGGCTGGGCCAGCATCTTCTCATCCTCTCTTCCTTTTCTCTCTTCCAGCCGTGTGAGATAAACTAATCAAGTTGTGGCTGAAACAGCAATCTGTCTTGCTGAAAGTGACAGAGATTAGGCTGTGCGCGACAGTCCCTCCTGTCCCCAACTCTCCCAACTTCAATGCAGTTCTTTTTCCAGGGCAGCTGTTGAGAAAACAGTTGAGGACTTCGTGAGAGGAGAGTGACTGCTTGGGCGTGTTCTTCACAGATCACGAGCTTAAGAAATGTCCCACAAGGGGTGGCCCAGAAAAGCCTGTGGTTGAAAACTACTTGCTTCAACGAACAGCACACGTTGTGCAGTCTCATTTGGACACCGGGCTTCCTTGTAGGTTATGCTCGGTGGCGGTGGAACGTGCCACTGAGTCCCAGCTGACTTACGGTGACAGGCAGAGGTGGTTTGCCATTGCCCTGGGCTTCCTTGGTGGTTTCCCATCCAAGTACTAACCAGGGCAGATCCTGCTTAGCTTCTCTGAAGAAGAAGAGATTGGATTTATACCCCGCCCTTCACTCCTCAAGGGAGTCTCTGAGTGGCTTATAAACTCCTTTCCCTTCCCCTCCCCACAACAGACAGCCTGTAAGGTAGGTGGGGCTGAGAGAGCTCTTGACAGGAACTGCCCTTTTTCAAGGACAGCTCTTATCAGAACTATGGCTGGCCCAAGGTCATCCAGCCAGGTGGAAGTGGAGGAGTGGGGAATCAAACCCCGTTCTCCCAGATTAGAGTCCGCGCACTTAACCACCACACCAAACTGGCTCTCCCTTCTCTCTCCCTTCTCTGAAGGGAAGAGAGGTCAGGCAAGCTGGACCATCCAGGTCAGGGCAGGCTATGCTCAGCTCCTCAAATTAAGTGAACGAAGGTGAGCAACTTACTGAGCGCATACAAAGAGGGCCATGAACAAGGCGCCACAAAAAGTCACTTGACCTGGATGGCCCAGCCTGGCCCAGTTTCACCAAACCTCGGAAGCTCAGCAAGGTCGGCCCTGGAAGCCCGGGGTCGCTACGCAGAGGCAGGCGGTAGCAAACCACCCCGGAGCATCACTTGCCTTGAGAACCCTACGGGGGTTGCCGTAAGTCAGTTGCAACTTGATGACAGAAAAAGAGACGGGAATCTGTACTTCTCCTAAATGGGGTTGATTTAGGATACTCTAGTAACTGTTCACTGTGGCCTGGACAGCCCAGGCTAGCCCAGTGTCATCAGGTCTTGGAAGCTAAGCAAGGTCGGCCCTGGTGAGTACTTGGACGGGAGACCACCGAGGAAGCCCAGGGTCGTGATGCAGGGGCAGGCAATGGCAAACCCCACCTCTGAATGTCTCTTGCCTTGAAAACCCTAAAAGGTAAAGGTTCCCTTGCTCGAAAGCCAGTCGAATCCGACTCTAGGGTTGCGGTGCTCATCTCCGTTTCAAAGCCAAAGAGCCAGCGCTGTCCGAAGATGTTTCCGTGGTCATGTGGCCGGCATGATTAAACACCAAGGCGTACAGAATGCTGTTACCTTCCCACCAAAGTGGTACCTATTTATCTACTTGCAATTTCTTGCTTTCGAACTGCTAGGTTGGCAGGAGCTGGAACTAGAGACGGGAGCTCACCCCGTCTTGCGGCACCCGGGTCTTGAACCGCTGAACTACTGACCTTCCACAGCCTGCAGTTCAGTGTCTTAACCATTTGAGCCACCGCAGCTCCTTTGAAAACCCTACGGGGGTTGCAATTAAGTTGGCTGCAATTGGACAGCGCTTTCCACCATCACCACTCAGGGCTACGTGCTTTCAAACATACTCCCCCCCCCCCCCCGCAGGATGCTGATTTCTGAACCCAGCAGAGAGGCAAGTGGTTGTAGAAACTCAGGCCAAAGCTGTAAGTTATTAAGACAGCTTGTAAATGGCTAAACTTTTGCTGTTTCTCCTCCCCCCCCCCCCCCCCCCGCCCCGACCAGTCACACTCAGTTGCTCTTCCTACCCCTGCACAAACTGTGTAGAGAGTTTCTATTAACCACGTCCACAGCAGAGCAAGTTGTGCTTAGGTGGTGGGAGGTTCTGTCGATGGGTAATGGCTGGTCTTTGGGGAAAGGATGGCAGCCTCTCTCTCTCTCGCTCATATCGTTGTGCAGATGTGATGGGCTGTGAGACGGCTGCAGACCTCCCTGCAATTGAGACAATGTGATGGTTGGAAGCCTGCAAGAGAGATTCTTTCCATTGGAAACAGTGTCAAATGATCCTGGTGCTAATGAGAAAAAGATGAGCGCAGCTGTAACTGACGTGATCCTTCTGGGGTGTAACAGAGGTTTCCTCAGGGCCAAACTACAGTTTGGTTTTGTAACCATGGTTTTGTAAACAGTAGGGTCTCGGGTCTGGATTCCCCCGACCCAACTCAGGTTCCCTCCAGCCACACAGCAGCTGTAGAAAATAGATTTATTTTTTTTAAAAAAAAGGAGAGCCCCAAATGGGCTGCGAATGCCACTGTGCTCCTGCCTCCCCTCCCCCAAGCCATATTCCCATGCTAAAACAATGCTTGGGGGGGAGGGAGTTATTTCTCCGTTTTTGCTGCTCCACAAGTATAGAGTACTCCACCAAATGTTCAGTTTGGCCTTCCCTAATTGAAGCAGGTGATCTCTTGGAAAAGCAAGAACTCATGCTGCTCCATCTCTCGATCTGCATTCTTCCCAGATCTGGTCGGTTAGCCTTTCTCTGTCAACCATGCATAAGAGATGACACACGCTACTCTAATGAAGATCAGGCGAACTCAAGCATGGATGATAAAAACAGACGTGAGAGTTGCGAGCTTTAAAGTGTACCGTATTTTAAAATGTCATGCCAGACAAAACCAATTGATTAGTGTGTTGCTGAGCGGGGCTACCTCAGTTAGCATCAGTGTCTAGTACAATTGCCAGTTTCTCAGAAACATGAAGATCATTAGAAGAATAATTCCTACAAAGATGAAAAGCTTCTTTGCTGCTATTTGTCGTTCATATGTGGAAACTCTGCAGCTTGCATAAATTAGGCACCTATTTGGCTGGTTTTGTTTAATTCTGCTTTTGCCGTACAGGATGCAGAAAATATACAGACCCCCGATTACTTGGGAAGCTGCGTGTTCTCCCTGGTGCCTCCTAAGATTTCACTGGGTCCTGTCCCACCTGGACAGTTTTAACCTGTGCAATTTTAAGAAGTAGGAACTCTTTTAAACTCAAACTTGGGAGTCTCACGTTACTGAATCCTGCATGCCGTACCAATCTCTGCATGTGCCCGACTGCAGAAGTCAGACAATCCTGGCCATATTGAAATGAAGCCTGGTCCACATCACAACCCATCGGGCCCTCTGTACCCCATCCCACCAGCTGGCTCCGCTAGTTTATCTAAGCAAGAACTTATTTCCCACAAATGAATTTGGCATCAGTTGGCTCAGAGTCAGAGAAATATGCATTGCATTCCATTCCATTCCTCTGCCTTCCTGGGTAATGTTTCAGCAGGTTCACTGAGTTCAGGACTTTCTGGCAGCTGGCTGGGCTATTTATAGATTGGGGGGGGGGTTAACCAGTGTATAAAGTAGGACAAAGGACTGCATTCCCCCCCCCCCGCCACCCTGCAAAGTCAGGCTAACACCTGTCACCTTCCCTTGGCAGGAGCCACTTGGTGGACCCCAGCATCATTTTGCTGGGTTAGGGTTCTGTATGAATTTTGAGTGTTCCCCCTTTCCCTATTCTGTAATTTTCACGAGCTGAG